TCAACTCTAAAGAGGTATATCTGGATCAAGCATGATGCATGCCTGTGATCCCATCACCCGGGAGGCTGAGGCAAGAGGGATCACTGCAAATTTGAGGCCAACCTGGACTACACAGTGAGACTCTGTCTCAAAAAACAAACAAACAAAAAGTGCATCTGGGCTCATATGGTTCAACAGGACCTAGATTCTATAAGCAGGAACAGAAAGTTTTAAAACTCTTATCTAAAGTCCTAGACTAAAACCTTCAAGCCCTTGCCCAATATAAATATGTACAGTTCCTCTGCCAATTGTGAGTCTTAAAGAAGTAAGCTTTGGGGAGCAGGGCCTAGGGGGGCAGGCCTGGTATTAGTGATTTCTGAAGTAGGCAGGTGAGAATCATTTGGGTGAAACCCATCTCTCTAGGGATGAGGAGTCTGGGGGCAAGGGAGCTCTTTGCAAAGTCCCCCTCTCCTATCCCAAAGGGCCTAATTTATCTCTGGGCTCCTGAGAAGAAAGGAGAGATCTCCTAGGGTGGAGAGGAGCCAAGAGAGGACAGAGCCTGCACTTGCCTGGCAGCACTGAGGCACAGAGCCTGTTCTGGAAGACAGACAATACCCTTCTCCCAAACCCAGCACATGAGGCTGTCTTGTGGCCCGGACCCTGTCCTGATAAGCAGATGGAGAGTACTGAGTCCTTGCTAGGGCAGCGCAATAGCAAATAGTGTCACAAGCTGTCTCTAGGGGCACAGGTGATTGGCATAGGTGCTGAGACCCAGTTAGGCCAGATGGATTCTACCAGGTCAATCTTAGTCTGCACCTCTCCAAAGGAGAAGCCTTAAGAGACAATCCTACTAGGTCTGGGTTTAGAATCCTTCTTGGAATTCCCACTTCCAAGGAAAAGAAGTGTGAATAGTGTGTCAGAGGGTGCATATAGGTTTACAGTGTGAGTCATTCTGCGTGTGTGTGCGCGTGTGTATGAGGACTGAGTGTGTGCTTCTACATACGTGTGTCTATTGGCCTTTGTTTCTACTCATTCCTAGTTGTCTGGAAGGACCTTTGTGCATGTCTTGGGCTGTGTGATAAATGCTCATATTTCTGGGTTCTCTGCCTCTGGGTGTTTGTGCCCTTGTGGAGTGTGTGTGTTGGGGTTCCGGCTGTCCTCAGAGAACAATGACTGTGGCACAGCTGAAACACAAGGTGCCTGCCCTGTGCCCTCTGGGTCTGCATCTATGGGAGTAGAAACTGCTCCACTGAGAATGCCTGGGAACATCAGTGGAGGTACCAGGAGTGGCCTGCCAGAGGAAATGAGGCACCCTTTGTAGGTGGGTAGTCTTGCAAAGCCTACTTGGTTCCAGCTGGCTCCTCTATTCCCCTCTCCTGATTGCGGCCCTAGACAGCAAAAAGCCCTTCCTGCACGCAGTACTGACATTGTTGGGGGACTGAGCCCCTCCACCTCACCTCAAAAACAGAACAAACAACAACAAAAATAGGCTTCAAGCCTCAGCGGGGGGCTTTAGGTCGTCAGTACCAGCCAAAAGCCTTCTGTGCCCACCTGGGACATGGGAGAAAAGTGTCAGCATGTACAAAGAGGAGGGGTCCAGTCCTTTTTCTCTGACTCTGTCCCAGAAATGAGTGGGCCCATAACCAGTCTCGGTCTCCCACCACATTCTCCTTGGATTTCCTGCCTCCTGAGCAACAGGCCCGGGACCAGCTATAGCAAACAACCTAAGCAAAGGGGAGGCAAGAACCAGTAGTCTTCCAGGAGCAGCACTACCCTATCTCCCGCAAGCGAGCGCGCTCCCCGCGCCAGTGGGGCGTGGCCTGACGGGAGCGCGCTAGGGGTGGGGCTTCGGGGCGCGCCCCAGAGGGCGGACAGCCGAGCTGTGGGCGTGGCCTGAGGCTGGGGGCCGGCGGCGGCGGCGGCGGCGGCGGCGGGGAGCTGGGAAGCGGAGCAGCCGGGAACGCGGGGCTCAGTCGGGGGGCGGCGGCGGCGGCGGCTCCGGGGATGGCGGCGGCTCCGCTGCTGCTGCTCCTGCTGCTCGTGCCCGTGCCGCTGCTGCCGCTGCTGGCCCAGGGTCCCGGGGGGGCGCTGGGGAACCGGCATGCGGTGTACTGGAACAGCTCCAACCAGCAGTGAGTCTGGGCCCGGGGAGCCCGCGCGTCCCGGGTCCGTGAGAGGGGGAGCTGGGGCCTGGGAAGTCCTGTGGGAGCGGAACTGTAGGCTGGGGGCCAGGGAATGCACTCTGTGGGTGTCTGTAAAACTCGGGGTGGGGGTGTCTAAGTGAGGCTGTTGGGGTGCAGTAAGAAGCGCTCGGGTCTTGAGGAGCAGTCGTTGGGGCCTCCTCCCCATCTCAGCTTCTGTTCCACCCCCGCCGCTGGAACAGCACTCTCCTGACCTATCGGCCCCCCATTTTCAGTTCCTTTAGCTGGGCTGGGGTCTTGGGTACACCAGTGTTCTGGGGATGGACCGCCGCATAAGGGGGTCAGGGATGACCTGTTTTTGGCCACGAGGGTTTCCAGGGGTTTTGCCCTGGACTCTTGCTTCTAAAAGTGGGGTCCAGAGCTGAGGCTGAGAATCTTGAAGAGCGCCTCCCCGGAACGGAGTGGGGTGCGCTGCCAGCGATGTGGGGAAATTCGGCTGCGGTGCGCTGGGGCAGGGTCGCTGAGTTGGGAGGCCCTGGCGGTGCTGCTCGGTTAGGATGGGAACGTAGGGAGCCGGTAGAGGGAAGGAGGTAGGGGGAGATGTCGGCATGTCACACGCACACACACACCCGGGCTGAGGATGGCGTGTGGCACCGAGTGTGAGCAGGCGTGCGCGGCTGTCAATGCGCGTGTGTCTGACTGTGTGATTTGTGTGTCTGCGTCGGCGATCGTCTGGGGTGGGAACGGGCACTGGCGGGGAGGGGGCTGCGCCGGTGTCCGCGTGGCCAGCCGCGTCTGGCTGTGTGGCTGTCGGCGCCGCCGCGGTCTGGGCGGGTGTCAGGGCGGCCGTGCAGTTTCCCAGGGTGTGCGGCGTGGAGGCCAGGTGCCCCCCACGCAGTCCTCGCTGCCCTTGTCTTCTCCTCCCCGGTGAGCTGCTGTGGATATCACCTTGGCCTCCCTGAGTGTGTCTGCGCGTTGGTGGGGGATCCCTGGGGACGCGGGGGTCACTGTCACACCTGCCCGGGCGGTGGCAGCAGCTCAGCCTCTGGTTCCCCAGCCTGGGTCGACTAGGGAGCAAATGGCAAGATCCGGGGGGGGGGCGGGTACGGGAAGGCCTGGCTGTCGCGACCCCCAACCTTATAGGGGAGGGGCTGCGCTCGCCGCTCCGCTCTTTGTTGTTTGGGGCTCTGCGCCTCCCCCCCTCCTCGCGCCTAGAGTGTCAGACTGGGGGTGGGGATGAGCCAACGACGCCCCCCTCTCGCTTCCCTGGAAACCACGGGGGTGGGGATGCAGCCCCTCCCCCTCGGAGCGGGACTCCGAGATCTCGGGGGACGCTGAGGCTGACTCCCCTGCTTTCTTTGGGGCGCCCCTCGCCCCTAGACCCACAACCCGACCCTCGCCCCGCTACAGCATGGCGCGCAAGGAGAGCTCGCAGGTGAGGGGCGCCGAGTTCCCCACCACCCTCGGGGCACCCCCATGTTCCGCGGGGATGCGGGAATCGCCTTGAGAGGGTGCCGATCCGGCCACCTCCCCCGCATACACCTGGGCGCAGGTGACAGCTCCGGAAGGGGGTGGGGAGCCGGGTTCCGGGTGCCTCCTTTCAGCCCTCTCCACTCTCGCGCGGGCCTGGGCCGGCAGAGGAGGGAGGGGGCGCGCACCGGGCTGGAGCCGCCGCTGCCCCCGCCTCGCTCCCCGGGCCTTTGTTGCCGCTGCGCCCGGCTCCCCGGCTCCCTCACTGCGGCAGCCGCGGCCCCATAAATCGTGCAAGCGACGTGCTCGGGAGCCGGGAGTGGAGAGCGCCCGGGAGCTGGGGGCGGGGCCGGCCAGCCACAGGCTTCCGTGCTCCTCCCCCAGTCACGTGAACAGGGCTCTGGGCTCCCACCTCCCGTCACGTGCGGAGGGTCTCTGCCCCTTGGGGTCACGTGGGGGTTACGACCCCACCCCCGGGTCACGTGGGAGGGTGCTGGTGGGACACGTGTGGCAGCCTCCTTTGACAGACCCGGGGCAGGTCCCCGCGCAAGGGCCGCAATCCAGTCTTGGCCCCCACTCAGCCTCTCTGTACTCTTCTGGAGTAGGCGAAGCCTGTCCCCAACCTGGCCCAGAAACTAGGGATGTGAGGACTGTGTCGGAGGGAAGCATGGGAGTGTGAGGACAAGGAGTCCCCTGAGCCTGAAATTGAATTTGGATGCGGACTGATGGCCAAATACCTGCCCCTGCCGTGCTTCATTTCTTTGCAGAATCGGGCAAAGGTGTTGGTACTCGTCGCTGTCTCCAGAAGCCTCGGGAACATCTTTCTCTAGCTGTCTCCCAACCTGTCTTTACCTCTGAAATGTATCAGTTGCTGATGGCTTTCATTCACACATTCATTCAGCAAATATTTGCTGAGGCCCGACTGAATGCCCTGTGGTCTTTCCCACTGTGGCCTCCCAATCGCCGAGCTCTGCTCTGCGCCCTCTGCGTCCCTCTCCTCTCCTTTGCGTCTCTGTCCCCTGCTGTTTGTGGGCCTCTGAGTCGGCCTCTAAGTCTCCCCGATTTCTAGGGCTTCGTTCCCGTTCTCTCCCTCCCTCTCCCGGTCTCTGGCTTCCTCTCCCGCTCGCGGTGATTCCAGTCTCTGTTCGCGTCCCCGCTCTGGGTCTCTCCCACCCCATCTCTGCGCGTCTCGCCTTCGGCGGGTCTCTCGCTCCTCTCCGCCGCTGCAGATCAATAAACCTTCGCCGCCGCCGCTGTCGCAGGGGCGAGGGGTGGGGGGATCGGACGCGCTGTTTTTCAGCGCGCGACCCTGTGGGCTGGAGAACCCCAGGCCCCGCAAGGGGCGGGCAGGGCTGGGGCCGGCGGGGCGTCGAGGCCGAGGACACTGAGGGGCGCAGGGTGTCAGCGTGCACGCGCCGCGCTGATGGTCCGCGCCACCGCCACCCGGAGCCCTGGCGCGCGGGCCCACGCCGCGCACACGTGGTCGGGCCTCGCCTGCTCTCGGGCAGGCGGCGCGCAGCCTCGGGGGCGCGCGCTGGAGGGAAAAGCCTCTCCTTACAGCCCTTCTCCGCCTCCACTCCTGTAACTCTTCATCCCGCGTCTCGGGCGGGGGCTGGAATTTAACAAGTTCGCCGCCGCTTGGGATCCTTTCCCTACTCCCTGGTCTTGTTAGACACCCTGTTTACCGTCCCCTAATTGCCCCGGGGGGAGAAGTGTGCGCCTTCCCTACTCCCCCGACGCGCATCCTCTCCACTCAGTAAGAGGGCTTGCGTTGTGCCTGAAGTGATGCGACCAGGAGAGACTAAAATAACAGGGTGATGGGCGAGGGGCGAGCTCCAGACAGGTGTGTTGACACTAGCCTTTCTGCGCAGAGGTGGGAAGTAAAGTGGGGGAGGAACAGAGAGCTGTCAGAGGGGCAGGACCCAACCCAGTCCACCCCAGGGCGGGCTAGGTGCAGAGGCCTAGCGGCACCTGCTTCTGCCCTGCGGGGCAGAGAACGTGACAGATTCAATTAAAGGGCCCCAAGCCAAGCAGACAGGTCGAGTCTCCTAGCAGTTGTGGCCAGGACGTCTGGCACTCAGCCTTTCTCACTCCTGTCCACCAGACACCAACTAGGCACAGCCACCCTTCCAAGCAGGTCTTCCTGCCACATGCCTAGATTCAGGGTGTATCTTGGGGACTTTTTCTGCCACGAACACAGGAATCAATCGATAAGAGGTGGCTTCTATTCTTTTGTGGCCATCCAGCCACCTTTTTTATAGAACTGGTCCCACCCTGTTGAGGGAACTCAGACTAGGACTCAGAGTAGGACTCTGGAGCTGGTTTGCTCCCTCAGGAATGGGGTGTGTGGTAGGAGGAACTGGGTGGCAGCAGGGAGAGGTACCGGGGAGAGGCTGCTTCAGAATGGAACTGTAATCATTGACCAACTCTAGGACAGAGGCCACACTGTGTCTGTGCGTCTGCTTCAGGCTTCGAACTGAATGCTGGCAGCCCCCTCCCCAAAGCCTGAGGGAGGAATTGGAGAATACAGGGTTGAGATGGACAGGCAATGCTGGGGTGGTGGCTGGGAGCCAGGCCTGGTCTAACCCGTTTTCCAGCTCTCAGTGCCCCAGGCTGAGACTCCTGCCCACCTGGGTGCCAGAGCCAGGGAGGGGCCGAGTGACCTGTCACTCCCATGGGAACCAAGTGGGACTGGTGGCATGTCTGATGATTCAAGGAGGCTGTGCCCATCTCTTTGGATGCCCAAAACCAGCTCCCACCCATCTGCCTCACTGCTAGGCATGGAAGGGGTACTTGGGAAGGGGGGGGCAGCCCAGGTAAAGCTGGAGAAGTAGAGTCAGGCATGGGGAGGGATTCAGAGACCAAGCTCATCTTCCTAATTACTGTTTATAAAACTGGGTGGTGTCTGGTGACATAGAGAGCCAGCCCCCCTCCCCTACTCCCAGGGACTATGGACCCCAGTTTTCACATTTTCTAGGTACCCCAGGGCTCCCTGGGTCCACTGTCCTTTATCTCACTGCCCATGTGTATGCATTCTTACCCCAGGAAACAGGGGTAAGGAATGCTCCTTGGAGTTTCTGTCCTCCATCCCTACACCCCTCTGTACCACCACCAAGGGTATTCGGACCAACACTTTGATGGTGATTAGCAAGGCAGATGGGGATGACAAGAGACCCAGCATCTGCTGCTTTGTCCCAGAGATGATACTGAAGTACGAGGCACAGCCATCTTGTCTGGGTATTGTGCCCCTTGCTCTACCTAGCCTGGCTATGGGGACAGTGCCACCCAAGTGGAGGAGGGAGGTGTGTGATGAGGCAAGAGTGCTGGCCGCTTGGCACGATGCTGTAAGGGGCTTGGTGCTGAGCCCCCCGGTGCCCTGGTCAGTTGTATTGGAGACCCAGTGGTCCATGGCCTCGGGATGAGGTAGCTGGGACTCAGTAGAGGCCAGTAATATTGCTATGTGTCGAGATCCTCGGGCCCTGAGATTGCTCGGATCAGCCGATACTGGCCAGCGGCTTGGCACACGTGCAGCCTCCCTTCTCTGAGTATGCACCTTGAGTGGGCGGTGGACATATTTGTGTGTGTGCCATGGAACCTGTGCGTGTACATGCATGAAGTACCACGCACGTCTGGGAGGGCAGGTCTTGTTGGACTGGCCTTGGGCGGACCGGCAAGGAAATACGCTGGGAATCGATGGAGAGGGGGTGTGTGTCCCACGGAAGGCTCCCTGCCGCCTTCCCTGCTTCGCTGCCATCGCCTCCGTCTCTCATCCCGGTTGGTGCGGGATGGGAGATGGACGGAGGAAATCCGGGCCTGGGTCTGGGAGTCGCTGGTGCCTGCGCCGTTTCTGTGGCAACCGAAGCGTAAGTTCCCTACTTCCCCCGCCCCTCGCTCTTCTCCTCCTTTGGTGGCGCAGGGCTTCCCTGCGCCTCTGCTGCCCTCTGGTGGCCACAAGGAGGAGGACAGCCCCGGAAGGCGAGGGCACCGAGGGCTGGGCACAGCTGACTGCCGGCTGCAGAGCCCTGGGCACTGATACACAGCTGGGAAAAACAGAGGCAAAGTCAGGAAGCCCCGGGGCTGGTCTGCGCCCCGGCGGCACGGAAAGCGGGATGACTGTAGGGTTTCTTTTCCCTGACCCGCTTGCTCTCCCCCAGCCTGCGGCGCGAGGGCTACACCGTGCAAGTGAACGTGAACGACTATCTGGACATCTACTGCCCGCACTACAACAGCTCGGGGGCGGGCCCTGGGGCGGGGCCCGGGCCGGGCGGCGGGGCGGAGCAGTACGTGCTGTACATGGTGAGCCGCAGTGGCTACCGCACCTGCAACGCCAGCCAGGGCTTCAAGCGCTGGGAGTGCAACCGGCCGCACGCCCCGCACAGCCCCATCAAGTTCTCAGAGAAGTTCCAGCGCTACAGCGCCTTCTCGCTGGGCTACGAGTTCCACGCCGGCCAGGAGTACTACTACATCTGTGAGTGCGGGCGGGCTGGAGACTGAGGTCAGAGCAAGCGGCTGGGGGTGGGGTGAGGGAATCCCTTTGGTCACTAACAGTGAGAGCCGAGGGTCCGGGGCCTCGGGGCTCCAGATCAGAGGAGGTGGTGATACTAAGAAAGGACTTTGGAGTCTGGGCCGTCGAGTTTTTGTGATAGACATTCTGGAGTCTGTCACTTTTCTGGAGTCCTCACATTTTGGAGGGGGGGGACTAATGGGCTCCTAGGGAGGATATCAGAGCCACAGGGACCAGTGTGCAAAGGGCAGGTATCTACTCAAGGGGGCAGCTAGCCGCAGGCGAGGACAGATGCTGGGCATAAATGGGGCGCCTACCACTCAGGCTCCGTCTTCTCCCCAGCCACGCCCACCCACAACCTGCACTGGAAGTGTCTAAGGATGAAGGTGTTCGTCTGCTGCGCCTCCAGTGAGTGTCGTCGGCTTCCACTGCACCCCATCCTCCGCTCCCCTGCTTTGGGGCACCCCGGGCTTCCTGGGGGCAGGGGTGGAGGGCATAGGCGACGGGAGTTTGCTCCCCCGCTGTAGCAGGGGCAGGGGGTCCTGGCCCTGACTCTCCCCCCCTCCTCTCTCCCCACCCGCACTCCACCCCGCAGCATCGCACTCCGGGGAGAAGCCGGTCCCCACCCTCCCCCTGTTCACCATGGGCCCCAATGTGAAGATCAACGTGCTGGGTGAGTCTGCGCAGCGCCCTCTGGTGGCCACTGCTGGGACCGCAGCCCTCCGCTGGTGCCTGCTCATTTTGCATGCCTTCCCTAGGACACCAGTCCTTCTTGCCCCCATGGGAGGCCACGTCCCCAGCTCCACTGCTGCTGCCGCTGCCGTGTGCCCCTGCTCCAGCACGCGGCCCAACCCTCACCAGTGTGTCTGTTTGTTCATCTGTCCGCAGAAGACTTCGAGGGAGAGAACCCCCAGGTACCCAAGCTGGAGAAGAGCATCAGCGGGACCAGCCCCAAGCGGGAGCACCTGCCTCTGGCCGTGGGCATCGCCTTCTTCCTCATGATGCTCTTGGCCTCCTAGTTCTGCCCCCTACTTGGCAGTGAGAGATGGGTGGGGCCAAGAAGGGGCAGGGAGCCATGGGCTCTCCAAGGGACGCCTAGCTGTGGGGCCTGTACCTTTCCACGGCTGAAACTGGGGTCTACACATACATCTGTGCCCGCCCCTTCTGCCCCCCTCGGTTAAGGGCACTGCACTGGGCCAGGCACGGGGACAGCCACAGCTCCCAGGTGGCCTTGTGCCTCTGGTAATGTTTGGTACCAAACCGGGGGCAACGAAGGGTAGTGCTCAGGACTCCCTGCCCCCTCGTACCTCTCCCTGCTCCTGGTGCCCTCCCCCATTGTCCCCTCAGAGAGACAGATGTGCCCCAGAGAGAGCAAGCTGAAGCATGGGAGGTGCCAGGTCACCCTCCTCCTGGGGCAGAGCATGGGGAGGGGGCTCGATAGGGGAGGGTGGCACCACCCGCTGCCCCCTCCCCCTGTTTACAGCAATAAGCACGTTCTCCTCCCCCTCCCGCTCGAAGGATTGTGGTTTGGATTGAACCCAAGTTTACAAGTAGACACCCCTGGGGAGACAGGTAGTGGACAAGGATGGCAAGGGGGTGGGCATTGGGGTGCCAGGCAGGCATGTATAGACTCTATATCTCTATATATAATGTACAGACAGACAGAGTCCCTCTTCCTCCCTAACCCCGGCCCTTCTTGACTTCCCCTTCCAGCTTTAGACACCTCCCCACCAGGCTAGGCCCCCCGGGGGACCCCCTGGCCCCTCTTTTGTCTTCTGTGAAGACAGGACCTATGCAACGCACAGACACTTTTGGAGACCTTGAGACAACAACGCCCCTCCCTTTTAGCCTTGCTCCTGGAACCAACTCCCAGGACCTGCCCTGCCCACCCTCTGTGGTCCCCACCCATCCTGGGCCTTTTACAAGTGCTTTGGCTGTGACTTTCATACTCTGCTCTTAGTCTAAAAAAATAAACTGGAGATAAAAATCCCTGAGTGTGTGTGATTTCAAGGGGAGACAGCCTTGCGTTCACTGATCATAACCCACAGGTCCTGGGTCTGGGTCTGGGCGAGATTCTGGGCCAGAGTCACGACAGGCCTTGTCCCCTTTGAGAGCCGTGCCTCTCTGTGGCTCCATGCTGGTTGACTTTGGGCAAATCCTTTAACCTCTCTGGGCCTCAGGTATCCCATGTGAATACTGGGCTATAAAGCATGCCTCAGAGTTGGTGTAAGGATTAAATGATTTGGGAGTTAAAGCCTCAGTTGCGGAAGGTGATCTTCTTTTCTCATTCCACAGTGTAATCGGAGGTTCTTGGCCGGGGTCTATGGATTTCTGGGGATTTGTGAACCTAGATAGGAAAAAAAATCACACCTTTATTTTCACTCCCTGTAACTGAAATTTAACATCTTTTAATGTGGTTGGACAAGCCACAAAAGTATTAACAGTACCTGTGACTTTGTAACCAACAGAAATCACAGATGTTTTCAGACTTGAGTTGTCAAAGATACTGTCTCATTTATGTTCATCTCTACTTTGAAATGATCATAGTTGTGAGACCTTCCATGTTCTTAATGTGTTAATAAAGAAACATATATATTACTATACCCAAAACTGACTGTTTTGATAACTGTTTCAGTATACTCGGCTTCTTGTTTTACCCCTTGTAATTGTATTCATTTAAAAACACTGCCTGTTGCTGGTGCCAGAGCTGATCCTAGCTACATCCTGTGTCAATCAGGAGGACACAGGGACTGACGGCTGCATCAGGCGGAGGACAGGTGAAGTGTGAAAGCTGGACTCTGGAGAGTGGGTGGTTTCCTTGTGGCAGATCAGGGGTGAGTGGGGTGGAGGGCATGTAGTGGCCTGGTCAGTGAGGCTGCCTGGTGGGAGATGGGACAGAGAAGGTGGCTCCTGCGTCCAGCTGTCCATGTGTTCCACTGATACCACTGGCCTTCCACCTGCTGAGTGTCAGGCTCTATCCTAAATATACAAAGCAGACACCATTTGCCAGATGTGCTCCTAACTCAGTCCGTGTTGCTGTGTGAGTGGCAGCCGGACACACACGCACACACAGGGCACTACAACCGGGTGTTACACAGCTAAATGCCAGGGGCTATGGGAGCACAAAATGGGGGCTTGCCCTTGCTTAGGGACATAGGGAGATGGCTCCAGGGAGGAGGTACACGGAGCTGAGACCCTACGGAGGAGCTTGAAGGCCCTGAAGGCTAGGGGGTGGGGATTAAGCCCAGCAGGAGGCACAGCAGCAGGCCCCTACAGTAGGCTTCCTCAGATCTCAGGGGCTGCTACAATAGGGACTGAGGGCTGGGCTGGGCTAGTGAGGGCTCTGTGGATTCAAAAATCCAGGAATGGTAAGACCATGAAAGAGCCTGACATTTGAGAACAGGGGCTAAGCACTGTGTCCTCTGAATCCTCCCTTCTGCAAAGCAGTTTGACTAAGGTCACACAGTCTGGCAAGTGACAGGGCTGGCATTCAAGGTGGGGATGAGGACAGGGAATGTATCATGGAGGTGAAGCACTTACCTAGCATGCAGTGAGGCCTGGGGTTTGATCCCCAGGACTGATGAACAAGAACAAAAGGTGGGTCTGGCTGTTGCTGAAATCTGTAGCGCCTGGAATCCTTTCCAATAAATCCCACTGCCTGCCCTCCCCCAACCCGCAGCCCGTTACCCCCTCCTCCCACGTTACTCAGCTGTGGACTGAGTGAGCCAGTTTGAACCCCTTATTCACAGAAAAGCCAACTGAGTCCCAGTGAGACAGTGGCTCAGCCACAGCCAGCCAGGTATCCATGGCAGAGCCAGAACTGGAAGTTGAGTCCTGAGCCTCCATTTTTTCTTCTCTCATACTGTGATACCCCAGAAGGCATCTTCCTGAATCCTGAATCAAAGCTGATACTTAAAACCTCCTTACCTCTACAGATGGAGCAAGGAGAAAAGACCACTCCCCACAAGGATCCTGTCCCATTTCCCAGAAGCTGGGATCTTGCCGCACAGCTCCTCAGGCAGACCCTTAGTGCCTGAAGCAAGCAGGGTCACTGGGGGAGAGAACAGACCAGTGACCCCGAGCCTTCCACATGAAGGTTTACACAGCCCACGGTGTCCCAGCCAACGTAGTGGCAAGAGGACACAGCAACCCTCCCCAGGGTCAGGGCTGGTGGGCGGGAAGGACAGAGACCCAGTATGCAGGGACGGACAGGCTAGAGCAGCTCGGGAGTGACCCTGAGTCAGACAGCAGGGGAGGTGGCAACAGGATAGAGCAGCAGCTGCTGAGAGAAGCTGAGTGCCTGCTCCCATCTGCCCTACCTGGGCACCCAGGTCTCCTTGGGATCTGCCCTCGAAGCCAGATGGTGCCCAGGACCAACACGTTCTGCTCATCACTACCCTCACCCCAAAGCATGGGCCCTGAGGTGAGGGATGTGCCAGTCAGGGAGAGCCACCAGAATCATGGCAGAGCCGGCTCCAGGGTGGCACCTACCCACCTGGCCTTCGAGGATCGGGTCTCCTGCGCTGTCCTGCTGGGGTGAAAAACAGCTGCCACAACAAACACTAAACCCAGATTTGGGCTTCGGAGTGAGGTTTGGGGCGGCCATGCCTCTTCTCTGAGTACCTGGGACCGGGTTGATGGGGCAGGCCCTTTGCCCTGGGCCTGTGGCTAAGCTTTCTTCCGGCCTGCTGAGGTCACTTGGGGCCTGCAGGTCTGCACTACGTCCTCCAGGCGGCAGCACAGAGAGCTCCGGGTGTTCGAGCCGGGTTTGTGGTCCCCAAAAGTGTGGGAGGAGTTGTTGGCGCTTGGGATGGGGCAGGGTGCTGCGGTCAGGAAACCCTGTGCGCAGGTCTGCCGCACAGTCTAGGAGAACCTCGTCCACTCTCCTTTCCTGAATTCTCCTGCACCAGTTCCCTTCTTTCCCTCCCCCAGTTCTAGTTGCTCTTATGTGGGGTACAGAGCTGGGTGTATTCAACCAGAGCCATGCGGTCCCCAAGCCCCACCCATTCTCTCTCACTGTCCTTGTTCTGTCCAGTGGGTGAACCAGGGACGCTATGCCGGGCTGGGGGTGTACACTGGATGTGGTGCCCAGAGGGCTTGGAGGGAACCTGGATTAGGATGAAAACCAAGCTGGCACCAGGAGTCATGGACAGGTGAGGGGGATGAAAGCCATGGACAGGAGTGAGGGACACGAGCTGGTTCAAGGCACCAGGCAGTGGAGACACAGGAAAGGCAGCTGCAGCCCCTGTAACAGATGCACGTGTGACACTGACACAGGAGAGTCCAGACAGGATGGAGGAGTGAGGTCCACCAGAGGTGCCTGGGCCAGAGCAGGAGGCGGCTCACTCAGAACCCACACTGCAGGCTTCCACCTGACCTGGGGTCTGCTCCCCACCCCCGCCCAGTCTCCTCTGGGTTGGCCTGGTGAGGGCAGGGACAGCACCTCCCCCAAGGGTCAGCCCCACTCCTGGTCTTCACCACAGCATTTGGCCCCAGGCAATTACAGGACTGTCGCCAGCATGCTGGCTGTAAAGGTGGGGTGTGTGTGTATGGGAAGCTGAGAGAGATGGGCTTAACTGGCCAGAGGTCCCCAGCCTGGCTGTGAGAGGCTGGTGGTGGCAGGGACACTTGGGTGTCACGGTCACACTTCCATACAACTTCACACACTTCAAGTCACATCCACTCTTTTAATCTCACAACTCTGTGACCCCACACAGTCAAACTCACTGCTGAAGGAGAGGGGGAAGGGACAGCCAACAGCCCTGAGGGGCCTCAGAAGGAGCAGGGGCTTTGTTTACACAGCTGAGGTGGAAGGGGCCTCGAACAGGGCCAGAGTGCAGGACTCAGGCAGGCACACCGCTTCACACCAGCCACTTCAACACACGGCCAGGTGTGTACTTCCAACATGCCTCCCAGGGTGTGAGGCACACACCAGTGTCACGCTGCCTGACACACTCATACGCACCCAACTGGTGCCCAGGGCAAGGGCCTCACAGGTACCCAGTGCCACACTGGCATTTAGGGTCACACAGAGTAACACACTTGAAGCTGGATCTAATAGATGACAATTCTCCAACACAGACCAGCTGACAAAACTAAACAAACAGGGTGTCATGCCAGGAAGGACAGCAACCAAACCTCCCAGGCATAGTCAGAATCTGGGAAAGGATGGGAGGAAGAGGGTACACAGGACAAGGCAGTGCCATGCTCAGACCCCTCGGAACCTATGGGGCCCAGAAGCAGCAACATGAGATACAAAAGCAAGGTTCCCAAGGATGTTCTCAGACATATACACACCCCAGGGAGAGGGAAGGCTTCCTGCCTGAATCCACGTGCAGGGACAGGTGTCCATGCCCAGTATCAGACCCGGGTGCCCCGCACAGCTCCACCAGGGGCATGCTCCCCCCGGCCCAGCCCTGTGCTGACGGAGAGTTAGACACTGGGGGGAGGGGCTGGCTGGGGAAGGAAGAGCTAAGCATGAGACTGGGGCTTCCTCGGCCCGCCATGGACATGCCTGCACACACACACCAGACCCAAAGCTCCTGCAGAGGGGCCCGAGCCCACCCCAAGTGTGTGCAGCCATGTGCACAACTGCCTTCCGGTCCTGGAACTTCCCACACCAGGTACAGCACCCCCTGCACTCCCCACTCTGACCCTCACCCAGCCTGAGCACCACTGAGCTCCCTGGCAGCCAATGCAGGCCAATTCTGACACCCCTGTGTACACTGAGGTCTGTCACCTGTGTGCTCTTTGGGGCTTGACATGAGTCGAGGGGTTCCTTCACTTATACCCTAGAAAGACCCCCACAGGAAACCTGGAGAGCATCCCAAGTGCTAATCCTGAGAAGCCCAGAGAAGGCAGCCATTTTTGCTGAGCCTGTGGTGGGGAGGGAAGGGAGGTGAGTGAGGGCTCAGGGCTCAGAGGTGTGGAGAAGATGGCAGCTTGCCAGCTAGGGTGTCAGCTGGGAGCACTACAGGGTGAGGGTCCCAGCCAAGCAGAGAGGGCAGCAGAACCAAAAGGACACTGCTGCTGTGCCGACGTTTCCAAGCATGAACAGTCAAAAAACGCTGAGGCTCCAGCATAAGCGCCTACCTTGCAAGCAGGCAGTCGTGAGTTCGATTCCTGGTACCGATAAAAAAATAAAATAAAAAAAAAACGCTGACGCTCACAGCAGAACACTTTTTACATCACAAATGGGCCCTATACACACACTCACACCTTCAGTGGACACGAATGTGCAGTCCACAGCCCCGCCCAGAGCCCCACCCAACCTAGCACACACACACACACACACACACACACACACACACACACACACACACACCCCGCACCCCTGCCACACGCTCGCGCTGTGCGCGTGGCGCCCCCTAGAGGTGCTCTTCGCCACCTGCTCCAGCCCGGCTCCCCGCTGGGTGGCCTGCTCCTCTGGGACCAGTGGCTGGTCCTGAGCCGACCTGGGCAGCAGGGGCCGAGGCCAGGGAGCGTGTTTGCGGCCCGGGAGTCTCAGAGGCCGCCGATCTCCCAACCAGAAGCACTTAAGCCGAGGCCTGAGTTAAAAATAGGCTAGATTTACTGCCAGAAGGTGGCAGGAGAGAAAGGTCTTTTCTGACAGTCCCTGTGTGTCCCCCGTACTCAGAGGCTCCGGGGAGCTGCTGGAGTAAGGAGCGGACCCCGCTGCTCCTCTGCAGAGCGAACAGTCATAAGTATGCAGGAGGGTCCCGTGACCTCAATTCTCCTTTATGGGCTTTTAAACATACATTACATTTTTGTGCGTGTGTGTGTTTCCTTGAGGTCTACTGAATACATCTTTGAACCCCAGTCTCTCTTTCAAGTAATAATAGCATGTAAACCCCTTGCCCGGTGTTCCACTCCCCGCCTCCCCAGCTGGATGCTTCGTTGCTGTGTACTTTATTACTACGTCTCCTGTAAGCCCCACAATACATTTTTAGGTTTGTTTGCCATAACAGCTATGTTTAAAAGAGAATTTTAAAATAAGAAAAAAACTTACCCACAGATTTGCCATATCCAGCGCTCTTTGCTGCTTTGTGTCGATGGAGATTTCCATCTGGTATCGTTTTTCTTCTGCCTGAAGGACTTTTTAAAACATTTCTCACAGCACAGGTCTGCCGCTGATGGATTCTTTCAGCTTTGAATGTCTGAAACACTTTTATTCCATCTCCATATTTGGACGCTATCTCCACTGGATTCTAGGTTGACTGTTCTTATCTTTTTGAACCTGAAAGCATCGCTGCAATGTCTTCAGGCCTGTCGTTTCTGATGAGAAAAGTCTGCTTCTGTTTTCCTCTTTACAGAATGTAGAGGTTTTCCTTTTTGTTTTGTTTGTTTTTGGTTTTTTCCTCTAGCCATATTTAAGTTTTCCTGTCCTACCGGTGCCCAGCAGTGCATAATCAGACAGATTATTATGCACCTTCAGGGAGCATCTTTCATGTTTTTGGGGGCTCAGTGTTTACTGACCTTCTTGGGTATGTGACTTCATTGTTCTCATCCAATGGGGAAAATTTCAGCTGTCATTTCTTCAAATATTTTTCTGTCACTCACCCTTCTCCTTTTGGATTTCCAAACAAGTATACAGCTGTGATCTTATTCTACAGCTCACTGATTTGCTGATTTGTTTTGTTTTTGTTTTCAAGACAATCTTGCAGTTGTGGCGTCGGCTAGCTTCAGAATCCCCCTACCTCAGCCTCCAGTGTAGCCAGGACTGCGAGCTTTCATCGTTGCCCGTCTGTATCTGTACACATACACACATGTATTCTCCTTTGTGTTTCATTTTGCATCATTTCTATTGCTAAGTCTTCATGTTCCCAAGTCCTTTGTTCTTCTGCAGTGTCTAACCTGCTTTTCAATTCCATCCTGTTTGTTTCAGACATTTTTAATATTTCTAGAAGTCCAGTAGGCATTTTATTTTATATATTTTTTTCCTTTGGTGCGGGGGATCGAACTCACAACCTCATGTTTGCCAGGGAGGTGCTTATGCCACTGAGGTAAATCCCTCGCATTATTTATATCTTTCACATCTCTCCATAGAATATTCATGCCTCATCTTCTCGAACATACTGAATATATTTAATAGTAACTTTTTTGTGGCACTAGAGAGCCAACTATGAGCTTCACGCTGAACCCAACCCCTTCTCCTTTTTTTTTTGTTTTTGTTTTTTAGTTTTTGAAGCAAAGTCTTACTAAGTTGACCAGGCTTGACTTGAACTTGTAATTTTCTTGCCTCAACCTCCCAGAGTATTGGGATCACAGGCATGCAACACCATGACCAGTTAAAAATCACTACTACAAATACTTTGCCTATTAATTCTGTGAACTTTCTGGTATTTTTAAAAATTGGATTTTATTGGTGCATTTTAGACATACATAATGTTCACATTCATCATAGGGAATTTGTATCTGTACATGATAGAACTTGATTATTTTTCTTTTCCATTCCTCTACCCTCCCTTTAACCCCTCCTCCCTTCCTTCCCCATTTACAAAGTTTTGTTTCCACTTTTTCCTCTTTTTCTCACTTTTTTACCTTCCCTTCTCTTTCTTCTTTTGTTCCTCTTTCCACTTGAATATTTTCTTCCTATTTCCCAATACCTATTATACATTTTAGTTCTTATTTGTACTTTCAGTTTTTGACACCAAGAAAACAATGTGATATTACACTTGTGTGTCCAATTTATTTCATTTAAGAGTGTGGTCTCAAGGTACACCCATTTACCTAGGAATATCTCAAGCTTATCCTTCTGGATCTGTTTTTTAAATTTTGTTCTGTTTTGTTTTTGTCCTTTTTGAAGCAGTGTTTCTCTATGCAATTCAGGCTGCCTTGAACTCACTATGTAGTCCAAGCTGGCCTTAACTTGTGGCAATCCTCCTGCTTCAGCCTCCTGTTTTTAATTGATTAATTCTTCTCATTTGGGGTAGTATTTTCCCATGTTTTGTATGCCTAGTAATTACAGCCTGGGTGCTAGACATT